GAGCTTATTTGAGTTAAGCGCTTATTGTTTCGGAACTACCTTCCTAGGTAACCATTGTAAATGAGTGTTACTGCTTGGTCAGCAGTGCAATCCTAATTTAGTGTTCTTTTTCTCAATACTGAAGGAATTTTACTTAGTTTCATACAGAAACGATTTCATTGACAAAAATTATATAAACCTACGACCTATAGCTAGAATTATCTCTCTTGGTATCCTATCCCGTACAACTGGTCCTAATCGACAATCTGTTCCTTTACGCAGAAGTCCATCAGCTTTTAATTTGGTCATACGCTCATTATTTTTTGGATTTTTCTGCAACATATACCGTGAAGAGAACAATATTGATCAATGGGTGTTACGCTTACTGCTATCCAATTGGTTATTAGAGCTTCTTCTTCTTTACTACTAACATCCAGCCGTTCGTCGGCTAGTGCTTTTAAAATTTCGCATTCTGTCATTCTCTCGTAATCTCCGGAACTCATATGCTGGAATGCTTCAGAAATTAACGAGTAAGATTTGCGCATAAAAAGAGGAGTAGAACACAGGTGTATGCGATTTAGATAACACGCTGAATTAACTAATATGAGCAAGGTGAGATTGGCTTTCACAAATCCTGCTTCAGACCTAAAAATTGGGCTAGTGCGTTCTTGGTGCCCTTAGTTATCTCCTTTTCAGTCCCAAGGAAGTTTGCAAAAGCTAATCTAACTTCTACAGGTTATAGATAGAATTAAACACAAAGTGAGCCTAGTAACAAGTCGAATTTTGATGTACGCTAGTCCAGTCGCTCAAACTATGGTAAGAAGTAAATTTTTCCGTTTTTTTCCGTCATATGTTTTCATCCGGCCATGTGTTCCGCACCTCATGCAACTCAAATAGGTAGTGGATACCATCAGGGAATCCACACCTGTAACCTGGACAGATCCATCACACTATGCATAGATTCTGATGAAAGTACCATGTTCCTTTTCATTGCTCCCAAATGAACGACTTAACTCTATCATCCTCTCTTTGCATCTATATTTAAAAAAACCTAGGATACCTTAACCTCAAAATTATAACTCTCTAACTAAAAAATCT